TAGTTTAATAGAAGCTATCGGTTTTTAACACGTGCATGTTACTTATTCTTTATACCCGTAATATTAATAAAATAGTTTTAGTCTGATTGCCTGTTTAACGCCCCTCCCACAATTTCTATATACAGTCTCATGCGAATAATCTCTCTATAGGTCAGTGGATTCGAACCTGCGACGTAATGCCCTGTTCACACGGAGAGTTTAATTCGAATGAAACGTAAGTTACTGCGAATTAAATTTGAACCACGTTCACACGGGGAGTTTTATGCGAATTAGTTTAATTCGAAATAATTTACTGCGCATTAAATTAATTCGCATTAGCTCCGTGTGAACGCTAAGCGAAGCTAATTCGAATTAAATTTTGAGGCATGCGTAATGGCAAAATTAGGTCAAATGCCACATTTCGGTGGTCAGCTTTAAGTACTTGTGCTATTTTTGAGTGAAAAAATAAGGAAAAATGTGTTCATCACTAAAATGTGTGTACAGACACTGTGACATTATGTCAAATGCATCTGCTTCCGCATAAGGTGACATGGTTTGAAAATGTCATAAAAGCCAAGTACTGACGCCTGACTGTAGAAGTAAAATACTATTTCTCAATACACATAGTTTACTTCGCATTAGCTGTCGTGTGAACGCAATTTAATTCACATTACTTTGATTCGCATTAGTTTACTTCGCATTAATTGACTGCGAATAAAACTCGTTGTGTGAACAGGGCATAAGTTTCCACTCCTTACGTTGGTTCTAGAGCAACGCAGGTATGTTAAGGTTACAACCAAAAATTCTACTTGCCTTTATGATATGACGTCATAGTAAGCTGTATAACGTGAAGTTTTAGAGATAACAATTTCTCAAAATCGATATCTAAGATTGATTTGAGGTCGTAAATTGGATCAAAATATGCAGAGATATAATATAAGCGGAATTTTGTCTTTTCTGGGACTCTGTATTTATCACACGGCCTAAATACCAAACCCGTGACGTCATAACTGTTGATCATGCAGTAGCAGAGTGAAAGTGAAACATAACGAGAATATTCATGTAAACAAACACAAGAAATCGGAGTTTAAAAGCATTTAGAATGATTATCTTGTGTGATTCATGTGGGAATAATGCTTATAAATACGGTATGCTAATTCAACTCTACAGTTTCTTCGTAAAATAAAAGCAGAAAGGGTGTTTACTTGCCGCATTTCCTCTAGCTGTGGTGTGTTCAACACTACAACTTTGAAACTTCATCATTCTTATTCTATTGTTTTTGGAAAGTGCTGCGCATTAGTTTACAAAATTCGCATTTTTAGCAATTTTTTAGACTGCAACAAATTGAAATTAAAACTTTTTTTCGCTGTGTGAACAGTGCCTCTTGTAGTATATGTCTCACTGAGGTCTATAGAATGCATAATGATAGCAAAAAAATTATCCATGACTGTTCCGATTTATTAGTGTTACATGCTATAAAAAAGTGCTAATTCGCCGAATTCTGATCTATGTGCTGCCTTAACTTACCCGCGAAACGTTCTAACCACTGCACCGGTACCATGCAGGTAAAATTTTAAGCTTAATTACACCAGTATACACAACTTAACATTTTCCATTTCCTATATTTGCGTAAAAACTAGGAGTTTTCTACTCAGTAAAGTGTTTTAAAAGGAATTGGCATTATAAGTAACTCACTGCATAAATTTTAATTTACACTGCCATAAGTATCACCGCGATTAAAGGCTTGTTCGTATTTTAGAGACATTGCAATGACAAACTTTTACAATCAAGAGTATGAAATTCCAAAGACACACCAGTTTTTTCACTTTTCATTGCCTGCCGTCTTTTATTTTGGAACTGAGTTGGTGATATGATACGATGTAGTATTTGATAATGTGACTATAGCGCAATAGTCATGTATATTTTCATTTCATCAAGAAAGTAAGTAATATCTGCGACATTTAGCGATTTGGTTGTAAATTTGAGAAGTCTCCATTCATCAACAATGTTTCATGATTTTTTTTTTATACAAACAATAAGAAAAATCATTTTAAAAAAGATAATTTAAAAATAATTATAACCTTTAAAATGTAATCAAAAAGTTCAGGTAAATGTTACAGACAGAGGATACCTATAATTTTTTCCACCGCTAGTACTGAGGAACGTTTAGCATATGGAAATTTACAAACTCTTCAAAAAATAAATGAATATAAAAAAACAGTATTCAACGCACACACGAAATTTTATATGACATATATTGAAAAAAAACAACGAAATGATAAAAAACAATTTTTATGCAAAATTTTGTGCATAAAAAAAATAGCTTACAAAACATACTTTTTTATTGAAAACGAAAATGACATGATGTAAATCTTTAAAAATAAATAAATAAATAAAAATGTTTGTATAATTTGTCCAGATGTCTTTATTTAAAAGTAAAGATTTCCGATTAATTTGAGTTAACCATTTTAAGATATTTTTTAATATAAAAATTTAACTTCAGCAATTCATTAGAATTCTTCATAAAATACAATTCTTATTTGTTCCAATAGCTGAATACTCGTAGGGACAATTATTTTCAAATTAATCATACAAAAATTCTTTTCGATTACCATTCCTAAATACTACATCTTCTACCAAATTAATAATAATAAAAATGTATGGATAAAATGGGTTTTATAAACTCAAGTTATCCTAAATTATATTTTTAAACTTCAGGAATAATGGCTGAAAAACTACTAGGCAATCAAAATTATGTTACTAAAAAAAGCCACTTAAAATTATGTTAGGTATCAACATCAAATCAGAATAGTCCTACTCGTAACAAAAACAGTCGGAATGAAAAAACGATTTAAATGATAAATATGATAAATATTACATAATTCATTCTTCATAAGGCCTTTTCTTAATTTGGCTGCTCTCTCACGAATAACTGGCAAAAAAATAACCAGACTCATTTTTTAATCTCCAAAAGAATTTTTGATCTACTGGGGAGTATTCTGCAAAATAGATTTTCAAATTTTGCTTTGAATATGTAATTTTTTGAAAAAGAAAAATTACTTTCCGACCATGCAATTTTCAATGATTAAGTTTCATTTTAATCCCAATGTAAGGCGTCTTTGATCAAACAGAAAATCATATCAGTTGTGTTGCTTTCATCTAAATGACTTTTATCCATTTTAGATATCGATTTGCCTGACATTACAATTGAAATTTTGTACCGTCCCAGGTTAGATATATGTTCTTGAATTAAGAAAAAAAATTAAGACATATTATTTAAACAACCTTCTTGAAAAAATTTTGCCACAGGTAAAAATATAATATTTTTTGAAAATTTAGCGTGATATGTGACAAGAAAGGTAAACATTTACGAAGATGTTAAGTACTTAGTTTTGGTATGCTCGATTCCCTTAAGCATGCTGTTTAATTACAACATGATACATTTTAATTAATCAAAAGAAACAGAATACCTAAGTTAAATTTAATATTTTCAGCAAGAATCCCAGCCTTGAAACATGAGAGCAATCAATGAATAAACAGATAAATAAAAATTAAATTAGTACAAATAAATGAAGATCTTTCAGTAGATTATAGAAAAAAATCATCAATTTCACTTTTTCACTTCATGTTTTAAATCAGATAAAGTTTGGAATGGGAGATAGGAATCTGTGTTCTGACGTGTCATTGAATACATTAAAAAGCAATTTCTTGTTTTTATATGATAATGTTTATTCAGATATGAAATCTTCCTGTAATAAACTTGTCGAATCACTTGTTTAAAAGTGTTTAAGAGTGTATGCCACTTGTCAGGGCGGATTTAAAGATTGTTATTTTTTATACAACAGTGTTCATTTATTTGATGCGCGTACCAACCAGAGCCTATGCATTCGATAAATTGTATCACGAGTAATGAAGTGAACCATCTTCAGTATGTGTTAATTAGAACAAAACTCATTTTCAAGAATAATTTATTTAGTTTCTTGATATCTATACCGCTTTATCTTTTGATTTTTTACTTCTAACCATGTTTGTTTAATAAATAAGTAACTGCTTAACTCACGCTTTCCCGCGATGTTTTACATGCGAACATTCAGAACGAAATATTTTTGATTTGTGATTGTAAAAGTCATTGACTTCTTTCTTGGAGCCAGTTGGCGAAACTCTCGAAAATGAATTATTTTCAAAAAGTTTATATTTAGATGCAAATGAATATTGAATAAACCTGTCATTATGTAAACAAAATTAAGAATTGTCAATTCAGTGAGAGCAAGGCGGTGGTGTGTGTCACTTACAAAGGACGTCTTCTATTAGTATGTGCATACTCAAGTGATAGTTTTCAATTAATTATAAATATAACCTCTGAAGTACAATTCAAAATGTGTAATTATTTTACAATCTGTAAACGCCCGTCAATCTGGAAGGATCTTCTTAAATTTAGTATTATGCAATTGATGCATATTTGTTTGTTACCGCGAATTGCTACAATTTAGGTATTGTGTAAAAGATACGGATTTTTGCTGGGATTTAAAACAAAAAAAAACCGAAGAATCGATTTCTTTCTGTGTATCATATTTATGTTAATAAATTCACCAAAAACATTTTTCCTCTTTTTTCCAAGAATCAGAGAATCAGATTTAATTAATGAAAAGCAATGACGATATTTTGTTAGAATTTTAAAATGTGATATCTAAAAAAAATAATATAAATCGTACATTGAATATGTTTTGTTTTAAAATTCTTTTAAAGAGGAAATCAAAAAATGTAAAAATGATGAGATAAACTTTTGTCGAATTTGGGTGATGTGTGTGTTACATATAGTCGTAATATAATATCTTGATAATGCTTAAGTACATTTTTCATTATAAATATTCAATGAAAAATGATTATTGTAAAATTACAAATAATTAGAATAGATTTTTTTTTTTTTTTTGCTTTCAAAATTCTTGATTTTCCCAATTCATTTCCATCCAAATGCCTTGTAATTTTGAATCTTGACTTATTCATATCCAGGGGATACTTGCCTTGTAAACTGTTGAAATATTTGCATTATATCGAAGCCATTTTTCAGATTCACTCCTCGCTAGATCTTGGATTTTCACTTTTGTAACTAATTGAAAAGAGAAAGAAACATGTATTACTTTTAATTTTTGAAACAATATTTCCTTTAAAATCAAAATTTCTTAGTTCACTTTGCGTAGTATAACAGTTTTATTTAGGGATACTCATCTTAAAAAGATGTATTTTTCCCTAAAAAATTTCGAAGAATTTTTTGGTAAACTAATGTATATCTTTTTATTTTCAGACACAAGAATGTGCTTATGTATAAGAGACAAAAAATCGTCAAAAAGCAATACAGATAGCAAAGCAGGTGAATCTCGATTGGACTGAAAAGAAATATAAATATATCTACAAAAATTACAAATAATTAAACATACAGAAAAAGTTTTTTAATATCAATTGTTAGCCCGTGATTAAAATGATTTTTAATTGATTTTTTAATGTCATTGTTTTATTTTAATTAGACACAATAATTTATCATTTATAAGACGATTTCAGCAGGTATACTTATATTTTTGTTTGAGAATGAACGTGAATTTTATTCTTGAAAAAGTTTTTAAACATTTTTCAAAATACAATTAATAGAGAAATCAATACCTATGAAATTAACTTTTATAAAATTTATCAAGATTATTTAAGTATAATTTAATATCTTTATTTTTTTTTTTTATTCATTTAATTTATGTCTTCGAAGTACGATGCATATCTTATTTATATTTTAACTCGTGACCTAATCCTTGTATAGATGGAATGAGTAATAAGTTAGAATAATTCAATTCGAGTTTCCTCAAGCTACCCGCTACCATCAATTATTAAGCAATTTTCTTAACTGAATCTTAAATAAACTTTTGATAATGATATAAAAAGTGGCTTTTGATATCGGATACTCTTTCATAAATGTCAAATAAAATTTATTTTTACTGCAATTCTCAAGGAAATTGTGTTTTGATGCAACATATGCACTGTTAGATGTTAATGTCTGCAGTTAATAAACATTTGATTAAGAATGTTAATTAAATTTAATAAATTATCTTCATTTTTGACAGGAAAACTTCTATTGGTTAATATAATAATTGAGCAATGAAAAATTCATTTTTCATTCAGTAAACACACAATTAGCGTGATTTTTATATGTTGTTCTGGCATTAATCACATTCCACACTAATGTTTTCTAAATGACTTTATATGAAGTAAAACTATATTAATTTTTTTTTTTATATATTTTTAATATAAAATTGGTTATTTTACAAAATAAAGTGAAAATACCAGTAGAACTTCGTAGTCATATAGAAGAAGTGTTAAAAATAAACTTTTGATAAGAAAATGTCCATAAAACTGTATTTAACAATTCAGATTTGATGTTGCAATTAATAATATTCTTTTTTAAAAACAAAATGAAAATCCTCATATGCATGTATTAAAATGGAAGATTTGGAAGAATTTTAAATAAAAATGAAATGTAAAATGCATTACCGATATTTGCGGCACAATAATCCGTTTGTATATGCGAAGGAAAACATTGACAGCACAATAAAGACCTGAGATCGCTGATCAGATATAGAAAAAGTAAAGGCAGTCTGTGCTCCATGTTATCAGTTGCTCTGTAGTTAATAACTAACTAGAGTTCCCTGTAGCCGCTGACAAATATATCGCTCAGGAACCGGAAACGTCATGAAATATCAGGTACAAAATTAAATTGGGAACTGGAAGAGACAAAATCACTCAATTAATTAAAAGAATAATTTCAATCATTTATAGTTTGTGTTCAACACAATATTTAAGACAGTGCTTCACGATCAATTGCTTTCAGTGAATATAACCCTTCCCACAAGAAGATTTATAATGTAGGTGTAATATGTTTAGTAAACCGTATTCTGAAATTAATTATAGATTACATGTCTTGTTTAACATAGATATAGCTGTTAAAAGCCTTAACATTACTAATAGATATATATGATAATTTCATTTAATGACTTTGTAATTAGCATGCGATAATAAAAGTTCTCTTTTTTAATAAGACAAAGAAAATTATCTTAATAAATATTTTCTTTCCATCTGTTTGTTCGTGTAGTGATTTTCCATTTTGTCAACAAATATACTTGTAAACTACAGTACAAATAACGATTCAATAAATATAAAAACATCCCTTTTCTCATATTAAAATCAATAAAATATTATTAGAAACAGAACACAAATCAGATACCATAACAAAAGTAAAAAAGAAAATAATAATTATACATTATATATATATACATGTATCATAAAAAAGATTTATCACTAGGTTTTCTGCTTTTTCTTTGAACTGTTCATTTCTTTAAATATATCAGAAAGTAAAGAATCTTTCTACATCTATTTACGTCATTTGGGAGTAAGGTAATGGAATAAAACAGGTTTACCTTGTGTAAGTTACAAAGAAATCTATATTAAACAGAATTCTGCTAAGCACGTCATGACGCTGGGGATCTTTTCATTAAGTGTCCTTGCGTCCAATACAAGAACCCTCACACTTTCAAATAATCACTGATTCATAACGCACCTAATTAAAAATGAATGTAATGACCCACTATAAAAATATGAATCATAAAAACAATCAAACTGTAAACAGACCATCAAACAAGCATAAACAGTAAGAGCAGAGTCGGTTCCAGAATGAATCAGATGTTTCCTCTCTCTCTTTCTTTCTCTCTCTCTCTCTCTCTCTCTCTCTCTCACAGAGAGTTAGAGAGAGAGAGAGAGAGACTGGTTAGTTATATCGACTAGCATCTAATTTTTTAGGATCAATGGAGAATTAAATTAAAAAGTGTTTTAAATATAGACCAGGCCTAGTACAACAGAGATAACTCAAAAACAATCCGAACAAAAATAAAAATTGTGTAGATCCGTGTTTACAATGTTTTCAATATCACAATCGCTATAAGTACTCAACTCTGTTATCAAAGCTTATGACACTGTGTAAAAAATTCCAAAGGAAATGATAAAATCAAAGAAAATATGAAAAATATAGAATTATATATTTTGTAGTTGGTTATGAAACTTATTTCACTCGGGAGGCAGAGTTTTATATTTTCATTTGTATACTCTTGAAAATTAAAAAAAAAATCCTGATCTACTAGAATACTATTAAAATGCATGAAATATATGGAGTTACGAACAGTATTCAAGATCAAAAGTCCATAAAACAATACAAAATAGGACTATAGCAGACACAGACCTACAAATCATAGGAGGTGGGATCAGGTGCCATGGAGGAGTGAGCATCCCCTGCCAACCGGTCACACCCGCCGTGTTCTTGTTATGATCGGAAAATAACAGAAATCCGTCGTCAATTCACTGTATAAATAATGGACTAACAATTAGTTTGAAAAACGTCATTCAGCATTTGACTCAATGATAAATTGTATTTGCTGACAAGGTCATTATATCGACCGTAGAACTTACAAAATGATGACTTTAAACGAGACCGCTGAAATTTTTGTTTCATCACCTTGTTTGTCAATAATTTACTTCGTTTAAAAATTGTTCATACACAGAGTATGCTCTTGTGTATCGAATCAACTGAGATATATGAACTCCGTATGCAGGTAATGAAGGTATATTGCTGCATAGGTAAGAGAAGTTGACGATAGAAAAGTTAAAGTCATCACGTTTATCATAGAGCTTGATTGTTAGATTACCATTAATCTAAGAATCAATCAATTAATGTCTTTTTCAAGTAAAATATCCAAATATAAAACAGATGTGTCGGACTCTGTGGTATCTTTTATCTCAAGCTCACCAGGATATATCGTATCGATATAAGAATGGAAATTACCATAATAATTAACAATACGTCGTTGATATATCTAAATATTGAGTTGAAGGCCACAGGAAGTTTTTTCTTCTTTTCACGCATCAGATTTTGCACAAATGCTGCTTCATATGAATACAAAAATAAGTCTGTTAATAACGGGCGCAATTCAAACCCATGGGAATTCCAATAATTTGTTCGAAGACCTGGTCTCCGAATTTAACATAGATGTTGTCAATCAGAAACTCAGAATCTTTTTGATGTAAACTTCAGAGTACTTGTATGTACAATCAGAATGTTTTTTAACAAAATAATTTTGCAAATGAAAATGACAAGGTACGTAAATTGACGAGTTCCATTTTTATTGAAAAAGCAGCTGTCAATGATATCAAAAAGTCTGGACTTTAATTTATCGTGGGGGATTGTTGTGTATAAAGTTGAAAAGTCGTAAGTTTTAAGCTGTTGATTTTGGTAAAATCTTGTGAATTCAAATTGTCCAAAAGTTCCCTGGAATTATTAAGTATCCACATCTGATTTACACTACTTCTTGAATATATTGTTGCACAGTGCGTACTCTTGAAGTTTCTCATCTTAGTAAGGAGTAATAAAGAAAGAGGCTTGTTTGAACATTTACTTAAAACCACTATGTATCTTTGTTTTTAAGGATTCTTATGAAATTTCGGAATCCAATATATATGGTAGTTCAAATTCATTTTGGTTCTTTGGTATTTTAAAAATATTAATAGCTGATATATGATTTTGAAGAATGTCTTCCTTAGGAAGGGAACTATGAGTGTAAGTTGGATTACCACATGTAGAATTTAATCCAAGTTCTTCTAAAACACAATTTATACAATGAGCCTTACAAAGACAATTTTGTTACCTGCTTTGTCAGCACTGACCAGTACATACTGATCATGTAATTTATCTAATTCTTTTTTCACTTCTGGATTATTGAATACAGAAGGATAGATGGTTGTACGAAAATCTTAATGTCCTAATAATATTTACCTTTAAAAAGTATGTTATAAACCCATTCAGAACACGGGAACTTAGACAGGGAAGTTAAATTTGCAATTTATTAATTTTTATGTCTTGCTCGTGATAAGGAGATAACGATTTGTTTTACCGGTCGACAGGGGCTTCTCACTCTCTCATGGTACCCGATCCCACCTCCGATATTTAAGAGGCTCGTGCTTGCTCTGATTTTGATTTGCATTGTCTGAATTAAGTTTTGGGCTTGAAAATTGTTATTTCCATTTTATTAGAAAAAAAAACTGAATTCCGTTTTTCATTAATAGTTGTTACTTTTTTCTACATGTATGTTGATTTTTGTGAAAACTTCAACAAATCAAGTTTTGAAAAAACGAAGGTAATAAACAAGGTGATTTCTTATATATAATAAACTTTGGATGCACTGTAGGAATATTGATTGATTGTATATTGATTAACGTCCTGCTCGCTTTTCACTCAAATGGAGACACCACCACTTGCCGGTGGAGAGCTGCAAATTTTGGCACTCAGGGCCATTGAGCAGGGAGGGATTTTTTTCGTGCCAGCACCTACTGCGACAAGGGACCTCGGTTTATACGGTCTTATCTGAGGGACCGGTCTCCACGTTCCACAGTGGCATTCGAAACCGCGACGTAAGGATTGACTCCTTACTTCGCGACTCTAGAGCTATGGGGAATAAATGAGTAAGTAAAATTTGTTGGAGCACAAGGCGGGTGTGATCGGTCGGTAGGGTATGCTCACATCTCTGTGGCACCTGATTCCACATCTGATGCTTGGGAGGTCCATGATTACTCTGCTCCAAATTAGTATTGTTTCATGGACTTTTGAGCTTGAATACTATTCGTTATCTCCATATATTTCATTGGTCATCCGAACGAGCGAGTTCGTTCCATATATAATGAATTGTTGATTTTGTAGACGTTTCAAATTAAAATGAAAGATTTTTAAAACACTAATAATGACCAAGAAGAATACATTTTCGCAATAACCTTACCTCTGATTTTAACTGAGTATACCAGACTGACGTCCAGACATTATAGTTTTTATTAATTTCAACATCCAGCTTAATGAAAACTGTAAATAAATATGTTTAAACGATTCACCTGTAGTGCTAGACTTTGCTGTTTTGTTTCTGGACTTTTTTTTGGACATATTTCTTTTCTTTTATTTTTTCAAAAATTTAAATAAGTTTATATTTACTAAATGATTCATTATTTATCACATAAATTGCAATTGTAGCTGATGTTCAGAGACTATACATTATAGATTATAAATATGTGATTTGAATAAACTTAAATAACTGAAAGAAAAAAAATCGCCTGATTTTTCTTTGAAAGGCTTATAGGAAAACCCCAGAATTAATCAAAGTATTGAAAGAACTGAAAGCCGGGCTTTAATTGCTCGAGTATATTGTCTGATCCAAAATAAGTACATATTTATTTTTTTTCCTTTTGGCCATTGATTTTTACCAGTAATTAGAATTAACAGTCCAGACCCCCAAGATATGTTTTGATTTTAAAATTTAATGAATAATATTTCCGAGAAATTCTCCCATATTTTCTATTCAACAAGCATTTTTTCTCATAATTTAAAAATTCAGTCTTCTATCAGTTCTCTTTTCAGTCTTTTTAACAGTTCTTTTATCGCCAACTACATGTAGAAACACTGAACCATGTACATGCATGTTAATTCTTAAAATTCCAATTCACTATACTATTAATTAGCTAAAAAACAAAACAGAATATTACGACGAATATAACCACTAAGTGACATAACATCGACGAAAACGATATGAAACATGAAACTTCAACATTTCGAAAATCCCACGCTATTGAAAATAGTTCGCTTATAATATGCATTCAGCAGCGCATGTGCACAAATTGTTACATCACGATTATCCCAATAAAGCAAATATTTAATTTCGCTTTCAGTTTAATTCTGAAGGAAATTTACTGCTCATTAACTTTTCCAACGACGGTTAAAATATTTGTTTGAATATCGTGTCGCAATAGGACTGCTTTGACGCTGTTTGGTTTTTTGTTTACTATGCTATTTATAGTAAGACAGCCTATAGCCAGGACTTTGCTTTCAGCAAAGCCCGCCTAAAAATTGATGTCAAAATTTGCTTTTAAAGAGAGCTGTGAGCAAAATTATAACGTATAACGTGGGAGATGAGAAAAAGAACTTCTACTTTCATTAATCGTACAATTATGGAAATATATATATATATATATATATATATTTATATATATATATATATATATATATATATATATATATATAATTTGGATTCTAGTTGTGAAATTCAAAGATTCTTTTTACAGTAAGCTTTATGCTGAGCTTGCTGGAAAACATGTACAAATGAGATGGCAATGATAAACGACCCATAACTAATATAGATTTAAGCTTACATTGATCTCTTCTTCACTGTGTGGAATCATATATCGGGCAATGTGAGTATGCACGTTTTTCAGCAAACGCGGAAAATAAATATTCAAAAACATACTTTCAGAAATAAAACACATCTAAGCAAGTTTCTATGAATATTAATAATTTAATGCCTTTGTTAGCAGAAAGTTTACTTCAAAGAGCTCGGGGTGTTATTATTTTGAAACACTTTATGGTGATTAAATTAAAATTTATTTATAGATACTTGTAAAAATAGAAGCAGCGAATAATCATTTTCCATAATTCTAAAACTTTTCATTCACAAAATCCTTTAATTTTTATTCAAAGTTAATCATGCATAGGTTTAATATTTAAAGTTCATTTGTTATGAAAGAAATAATATCTGTAGTATAGTATTATTTTTGCTGAATTCTTTCAGATGTGGTTGTTTCTTAATTATATATAGATAAAATTAATAAAATAATTAACACAAATTCATTTTATTCAATGAGTCATAATTACTAATACTCCGATAGAAACAAGTTTAAATTCTTAATATTTTGCAAAAAATTAGGAAATAAAATTAGTATTATTACCGTTTGAAAACATTAAAGCTCCTACCTACATCTGATATTCACAATATCAAATACGGCTTGAATTAATAAACCCCAACTCCATCAAATTAAGGAAAAGAGTTTGTTCGAAATGTAAACATGACTGACCATTTTGCTATTTTTATATATCAGTCATCATATCTCGAATGTCAAATCCGGTAATCAGAACAATGAAATACTTTCTATATTTTAAAATCAGGGAAATGATTGCTACTTAATATACTCAGTAACAATTTTACTCGTAAATGTCATCTCTTTCTTTTAAGCTAAGCACCTATATTAAAGTCTACATATGTAAAATAAAATTCATTTTTTTAACGAAAATAAAAGTACAATAAGTAAAGTATAGAACTGCATATCCTTGATACGTATACCGAGTATAGATATTTTACGATTTGTCCAGAAGTTAAAATAAAAAAAATTAAGTTATTGAAAAGTTCACATTAAAAAAAAATATCAAATTGCTTTTATGAACCAGTTCTATCTTTTTCATTGTTATAATCAATGTTAATGGATTGATTTTTATTATTATTATAAAGAGAATAATATTCAAGCTTAAAGGTTCATTCAAAAATACAAACTGGAGGAGAGCAAACACGGACCTCTTAAACATAAGATGTGTTCGTAACGTAAATTTTAATGCCTATATATGCTGTTGTACACTACTCCAAGAACACTTTTGGATAAACAAGTTGATGAAACAAGACTATCATTTCGTAAGTTCTATGGTCGATACAATGACCTTGACAGCAAATACAATTTATCATTGAGTTAAATGCTGACTGACTTTTATCATACTTATTGTTACTCCATTATTTATACACTGAATTGACAACGGATTCAATCTCCAGTTAATTAGGTATGGGTGTCACGACGTCGTGGTAGCGTGACGTCATAGAAGCCTTTTCGACACGTTGATTCTATACAGTAAGAGATCGATTCTGTCAAAATGTATTGCATTGGAGATCGAATATGCTGATATTTATGATATTCCTGGTAATATTTACATTCAGTCCAATATGTATGAGCCACCTCCACGCCCGAATGATCAGGAAAGCATCGAGGAGAACGATTATGGCAAGCACCATGTGATCCAAATTTGTGGCTTCGCCTAAAGCATATGTCATATGCAAACAACATTGTAAACAATGGCTGCAACGACCGCAGCGAGCTACGTATCTGAGCTGGAAAAATATTATACAGAGGTATTGCAGGATTATTTTTGAACGTTTGAACATCTTACACAGGGAAACTCATAAAGGAAAACACGGAGGTGACAAACTGTAATCTGGATATTTTTTAACGACGGAAGTTCGTTAATGGAAATGGTGTCGTCATTCAGCCTTCAAATTTGGACTATATAATAAACAATTATTTCATAGTTCAGTAAAAAGGAAGTTTATGCATATTTTCACCAAGAGATTTGTTTGAAATTCAAATTACTTTTTACAATATCTTATAAAAACATGCGCTGTCCATAGCCTTTAATGTAAAATTCAAGGTACAATTACAATTAATTGGACAATAATCAAAATTGTGTTAATTCCCTTGGTGGAGCATTTTTATTTGATTACATCTTCAAAATGCTACCATGATTAAAAATATCGGACCATTCATTTATTAGGTACAAAATATGGTCATTATACATTGAATACCTTAAATGCAACCCAACGTTTTCGATGTCAGATCTAGATAGTGTAATTTTCCTTTTGACAAAATTCCGTAGGCAGACCTTAAAATATTTGTATTTTTCATTATATCATATATGCACAGGCAAGATAGGGTAACGGCAGAATCTGGCCCCTTATTTGATATAAAAATAATAACACTGGTAAAATTGTGATAGTTTGTAGTTAAATGCAGGTGTCACAACAGTATTAATTTCTGCTATATATTCTTACCAAAAATGCGCAAGTTTGAGTAGATGTAACTAATTCAAAACAAACTTCTGAGAAGTTTCCTTTTCAGATCTTGTAAAACCATTCTTTATAAAGATTTTAGTACCAAAAAATACATAGCCATCCAGCAAGGCACGCAAGTTTATTTCGGTCGAAGTCGAGCAGGTGCTTGAAAATCTAGTCCAGGGCCTAATCACTCCCCACTCTTGACAGAATATAGAAAAATCAGCACGCCCTAAATTTTAATAAATCTGGTCAATACAGGAAGTTTACATGTTGTTTTTCATCTCATAAAAAAATTCAGCTCCAGTCTCGTATCAAAATGTCCGAATCGGAAGGGAAGATTCCGGGATTATTTTTCGTCAGCCATGATTTGACGTGAACCAAAGTGTAATACTGTTATGACACCTGCAATTAAACTTAAATTTTTTCCTTGCCGTTATATTGCTATTTTCCCGATCTATGATGATTATCTAATGTATTTACCAAGTTTCATAAAAATCCGTCCCAAGATAGGAAAATTACGGGCAAAACTCTGTGACAGGGGGCTTCGCGGTGAACACGGATTTCTAAAAATATGGCACAAGTTGAACTGTATGTAATGATCTTGCGCGTTAAACTTGTGCGGTTTTTTCGTTTTAATTTTTTAATGGATGCATACTGATTCACATGAGGATGAAAAATTGTTCGAAATAAGTTTGCATTTTATAATAGGGCGAAAGAAATAGTTTTTGTCATAAGGTTGGGGGGTGGGGTTAAAATGGGCATCGAAAAAATAAATACTATTGAAATATTAAAGTGTTTTCTGCTTAATTACGATTGATTTGCCTCAATAATTATTTTTTCCGACCGGATTTCTTTATCTGTTACCAATGTGTTCCAAATA